CATTATTTCCCTTTTCTTGAATCCTGTTGAAAGTTTAAAATAGATTTTTAACAACATAAAAAGGTGGAACTAACCAGTCATAAGAACAAATTTCAAAATCTACATCAAATGGATTATTTTCTTTTCAAAATAAATGATGTTCACCGACAATACACGTCAGTAACAGTGGCTCAACTTCCAAAGGGACTGGCTCTACCAAGTCCAAAGGGTCCCTCATGTAAGGCCCCCCCCCCACCCTCATAAAAAAATACAGAAGAGCAAAGAACTAAAAAAGAAATTTCTCGGGAGAGGAGTCCATTTAAGTCTGCGGGTCCCATTGATATGGTTAGGAAAATTTCAACAGACCTGTTTTAATCTTTCATGTACATTGCTAGTTTTATTTTAGAATAGAAAGGGGCATATAGTAATTCAGAATTCAAGTGTTTAAACTGATCAAAATTCATCATCAGATAATAGTGCTCAAGATATCTATAAATTACGACTTGGGGCCTTATTCTTGAAAACTTAAGATGATTTTAGTGTTCCATCCAGAATTCTGATTGGTCAATCTCTAAAATCAATTATAAATTTAATTTTTCTATCCAATCAGATAACTGTATTTCTTAAAATCTGGATTTATTTTAAGTTTTGGAGAATATTGCTCCCGAGCTACAACCACAATTGGCCAATCCAATTTTAAACTTAACTGCAATACATTCACGAAGGAATTCAGTATAACAAGAAAGGCACGATTTGAAGGCCAACACAAGGACTCACTCCACTAATTCATTTGCCATCTCTTCCCGTGTTAAAACGCAAAATTCAACCTTCTACAACTTTTTCCAGAAATCTCGTTGAAAGCTTTCCAATATGTAGAATGAAAGCCTGGTCAATCCTCAATGTCTCCTAATAAATTCAATATATGATGACCATGAAAATTTTGAGCTACTAAAATTGAAAGTAGACTCCTACCAGTTATACTCATCCGCTAGAGTTTGGCAGTTCACAAAATGACTATTTTTAGAATTAGCCTTCCGCCTTTAGGTCTCTCATTATCTCACCAAATCTTAAGGATAATGCAATTTCAGACATCAAATTCCAAATCTAGACCAAAAATTACCCAAATACAGGCATGCAAAAACCCCAAAAGGGAGAGAGAAAGAAGATTTCTAAAAATAGCCTGGACTACATTCCTATACAATCATAAAATGTTTTAGTGGAGTGAGTCCACAAGCTGCCTGCTCGCTTTACTAGACGGACTAATTATCTCCACTTAAACTAAATTCCTAGTAGACCGTACACTGGTCGCGATTCAAGATATACTGGTCATTTCCTCTTGATACAGTTCTCCCTGAATAGAGTGTGTATTCAAATTGGTCTGCTAGTGAAACCACGTTTCTCCTCTTAGATAGGCAGACGATATTCTGGGCCGCTAGTCAAAAACCTTTTTACAAATTATTTTGGTAAGTTTATTATTACTTATGTATTTTGTTTGGTTTGATGTATTACTATTTGCATTTCAACCAAATTGAAAGCATGTGCCTTTATCTACAGTACAATGATTATTCACATCTAACCGTTGCTTGAACAATCCCATATTATTCTCGTCATTAGAGACTAATAACCTCCCTTTGCAGACTATACCTCACCATTTAATATATCCAATCTGGAATCTCGTACTATTTTAGAGTAAACGGACGGTGATTGAAACTGTTGCAGATTGCACAAACCCGCTTGTCGATCAGTGATCGATGTGAAACTTGACGGGAAAGTACGCACTCGTGATCTTAATATTCATGAAAAATTTAAGAAAATTCGCTAAATGAACCGGGACCATCTATATTTCTGTTCAAAAGAACACGAGGTCTCGCTTTTTGTTCCATACCAACCAACCATTAGACGTCCTTTACATGTCTGCCCCAACCTTCACCACTGACAGGTGAAATCCAATTGGAAATATCTGCATTATGCCGAGAACCCTTGACTTCCAGATTAGCGTGTAAGTATCTAACTGAATGAGTCAGTGAATGCCAGAATAAAGAAGTGTTTATAAAACATTGAAATATTCACATAAATAGCAGGATTTTGTTTATAGTCAGAATTCAGTAGAAGACAATAGAGTCTGGTAGTGGTTCTTTGGGGGGTTTGTGTCATGATGTTCTTTAGAAGAACATTAAGACCAATATTATATTTCATGGGAATATAATACCTGATTACAGAAATCCTTTTAGTCACATCTAAAAACATTAGTTACTAGGGGTAATGGCATTTTTGTTTAAAACAGTCTTATTAATCGACTGGATTTATTCAGAGATTTCCATTTAGATGTTCGTGACAATGGTATTTATTATTTCAAAATACGTAAATAGATTATGTGTTAACAAATTTAATCAATATTCAACTAAAAATAATAAATAACGGCGAAAAGGTTTTTAGACACATCTAAAAAAAAACGTTTTTGTCTCATCCTTTTGTCATTTTCAAACAGACAATGCCTCTCAGTTGTATTCTTAAGAACATAGATAGTTTTTTGTTTCAAAGAGAAAGGGGGTTAGCAATCATACGTAAAATTAAAACTAATAAATAATCAGATAATAGAACTCAAGTTACAACCTTTCTGTTCATAACAATCAAAATTTATTTGCTGATGTTCTGGTTTCTAGCAACCTACCAGGTTCTCTTAATGATCTTTATTGAACTGACAATAAAACGTTTAACTGGCCAATCCAGTTTTTATCTGAACTGAAAGAAAGACAGAATTCAATATAACAAGTCAGGCCCTCCCACAAGCCCTAAAATATAATGGCGTTTTGCTAATGGAACTTGACTATTTTCCTAAACAAGAGAAAAGTGCTCCATGGTGAGTACTACTTGATTGATTTCCAATAAAAAGCAGAAGTTTTTCTCCACCAAATAACAGCTTTGTGCCTGTTATGCCATTGGAATCCTTCTCTTTTTTTATATACGTTGATACTATTTTCTACACATTGCCCATATTTTATTAATATTTACATACCTTCAAGGGCCTGTGGCCAACTCGCTTTACTAGAGTACTTGTTATCTTCACCTACTAAAACTCCTTTAAAGATAGATTGTAATGATCCGTTAAGATATTTTGTTAAGACGCGATTCAAGATATACCGGTCATTTCCTCTTACTACTCCTCTCTAAATAGATTACTCTAAAAATCAAAACCCGCAATACACGATTCTATGGTGCACGTTTCAAGAGGTAATAACCTCCCATTACTAGACCTCTTCACAGGCCATAGACAAACTGGTCCATCAGTCCAAACTTTTATACTAGGTACTCTGGTAAGTCACTATTCACTACTCTTTTCTTGATTCCTTTCAGGAGAGACCTCTATGCAAGTTTCTTTGGTATCTGGCAAAATCTGAAAGAAAAAACAATTTCAGACATCAAATTCCAAATCCAAACCAAATATTAGTTAAAAATAGGCATACAAAAATGAGAAAGAGGATTTCTAAATATGGCACGGACTACAATCATTTGAATAAAAAATGCAAGATACTTTGGTTAGTCTAGATTCGAGACTTACTGGTTAACTCCCCTTACTAGACATAAGATTTGAACGATATATACCCGGCTTACTATACACCGCTTCCTATACCCCACTTATTCTACACCTTTCTAGACAGACTATAGAATCAATCAGTCTATATTTACCTTTATAGTACAATTAGTTGTTTAAACATCTAGCTTTCTATTTCAAGGATTCGGACCACAAATTCAATGGCAATCCTTTATGAAAAATTGATCGCTTCAGATTCCAAACTTTGTCTTTAAATGGAATAATTTGAAATGGCCTTGAGATTGGATGCCAACAAAAAGTGTGTTATTGGGGTATTGATTATCGACACAGTTGCTTCAAGTTTTATCTTTCAATTTCGAATTTGCCTGTCAACACCGTGGTGTTAATAGTAAATTTAACAAGTGTGAAACAAATATACTGTAAAAATGCCTTCAGCACATTTCATCCCGTGAATCGACCAGACAGTAGTTTTCTCTTTATTTGATTTCACCAGACTTATTGAAATGTGTTTCGATTCGACGATAAAAGTACTTCTGAAAAAAATAACCGTCACTTCAATCTGTACGCTAATTTGTTTCGAATGAGTTCAGGCAATATTGGACAACACCAATCTGAATAAAGGGTGTAATTGGTAATTTCAGTAATATAGTCCAAGGTCATAGTCATTGAAAGAAATTACTAGTACTCGGTATTAAAAAAGGCGCCACTGCAATCTGTACAATATATTTAAATGAGTTCGCGGGCAATATTGAATTAACAAAGAGTGGCGAATTTTGTAATGCTAGTATTGATATAGATTATGGTCATAACTTCGTTAAACTGCACTGTTTTTTATATGAAACAAGCTTTACTTTAATCTGAAACTTACATTACAAGTTAAGTCGAGTAATTATGGTCGATTGACACAACACTGTTTCAAATGAAATCGGGCAATATTGAGCTTTCGGAAATAATAATGAAATAATGAATCTAGTAATTCTGGGATATATTTTATACTCGTAGATCAAATTATATATGCTCTGATCGAGAAATTAAGGTACTTGAGATGAAAGAAGCATCATATTGTTACAAGTTATGTCGAGACATTCTGGCAACCTAGTAACAGACATGCATCTGAAGAATTATATTCCACGTAAAAGTCGGGTGACTGTTGGTGATCAATACTGTCCGGCGTATCACGGGGTCAGATTTATTCTTAAGTGAATTTCTCCAGAAATAAGTATTGCTCTGGGTATGGCGAGCAAGAAGGGGATTCTAATTCTTGATTAATTCAGAGACTGAGTATATTTATATAATAAAACTCCGTACAAGCAAACTAATTCCGTTAACCACAAATCATGTCCAAAGCATTATAAAATCGGGAGCAGTAGTTGTATAGTAGTCCTAAAGCGAGAAGAACCATCACTACTGTATCTAATATCAGCATCACGAGATAGCACCAGATCTATGTTATAACTCTGTAGGAGAAATGAAATGGAATGAAATGAATGGAGATGTACGTCCTACTATTCTGCACCATGTAAGTCTGTAGGAGAGACCACATAGCTTCTAATGGGTTTAACCTTGAGTAATATAAAATAATCACGAACTGGACTCAAATCGTATAATTTGATAGTAACATTAAAGCGATAATGATAACAGTTAAAATCGATGGTTAGATGATTGGGTATCAAGGAAATCTAATTTATTCTATTTCCCCATAATTCAATTTGTCTAGATGGATAAAAGAGGTCTATAGTGATTTCAGAAGCTAGACCTCTATATAGAGTGGGCTCATTTTGTAGCTAGGCGAATCTGGGAAACGCCGGCTGTGGCATTCAGAATATTATTACATAACTGGTGATTTGTTGGGGGGAAGATTAATTTAATATGAGGAACGTCCAAATTCATATTGTGAGTTCAAAAGAACACAAACAATCAAGCATGACCTTAACATAGAGCTGGGCTCAATAAGGTTTTGGTACTCGAGGCGAGAAAAATCTAAGACCAATGGCCTTGACATCTGGAATCTTTTTTTTAATGTTTTTCTTGTTGATTATGAGAATGAAACTTCCACATTTTGCTATAAAAGTTCAACTAACATACAGCTTCTTATGAGAATATATATTTGGTTTAACTTAAATAATATCTACAATAGAATTATCCAATTCAGTATACAAAAATGTCATTGTATTTTTTATGCAGTGTGCACGAACTGAAGAATTTAAAAACCTCTGATATTTAATGGTTATAAATTCACAGATTATAAGAGGCTTTAGATCCAATTATCTCAGATTTAAAATGTCATATCACGGTCCTTTTATGATTTCTGATAACAAGATAAGTGTTTTATCGAAAAATAATAATTTCACTGGCCATAACCTTAATCTGGGGTTATATTTCTGACGATTGCCAGCGTTTGTCAGTGCATCTATATATATGGATCTCTGAAGAAGCTATTAAGCTGAAAGCGTGCTAAGATATATGTATATATGAATTGAATATGGATCAAATAACAACTTGTTCTCTCGAAAATGGATTAAAAGTGTTTCATTTTACCAAGAATTGATGACAACCCTATATAGTTACTTATATAAACTATATAAACTGTCCACGCCAACATTTTCTACTAAACTATTGATCTTTTAAGATTAACGTTTGCATACGCAGCAATTCAAGTCAATCATAAGTATCTATATAACCTTACTTAGTGCAGTTTTAATACCATGGACCTAAGACAGCATCCAGTTCATTCCTTAAATGTACTGTTACTATGCATTTAACCAGTTGACTTTGAATGATCATCATATTCTATAATCTGTATAGTGTAAAAGAGATTTGTGTAAAAGTATCGGGAACGACGTTTATAATTGAACCATTCTAATTTCCTGTCTGGAGTCTTGATGTAATTATGAAGTCACAATCGCAATTATCATCTTAGTCAAATGCTATGAGCGTTATAAACATCACTATCTGCTCGAGGGTTTCTGAAATTACAGACGTAGGATGAGAAAAAGAGGAAAAGGTGCAAATAGAAGCTATAATAATCAGTGATGTACAAAAAAATCATGATGTAATTATAGTAACTTAATGTTCACAGACAGCTTCGGGCTCTTTGGTCCTAGTCCATTATGATAGGTACTGGGGCGCCACCAAGACAGGTCACACTAATATTGTTGTAATAATATACCAATGGGTTTTCACCTCAGCATTGCTTATACTGTTTTTTTTTTAACATTTACTGCTCTAATATAGCTGAACATTTGAATTGACTCAAATCCCTCCCAAACATTTCGCAAAAACGAAATAAGTTTTATCATTTCTTTTTCTGATAATTTAATATATAAATACACAATTGTTACAGTTTCAAAATACTGGTTTCAGTTTCAATATTTAATTTTCATTGTGATATTCCTTTCTTAGACTGACATTTATTGGAGCCTGTAGTTCTTAATGTAACCTATGGAAATTATCCACCTATCGAAAATTGTTTATAAAGGCATTTAAAATGTCGACATTAACAAGCAGAAAGATTCAACCTTCGGGGCTGAAAACATGCTATCCCAGAACGAACTGTTTGCTTCGTAATCGATGATCTTCAAATGACATTAAGTAATTCAAAATACGAAGTATATTAATGCATAGCCATTATGGAACAACAATCATTGTTAAAAGTTATTTTCGACATGTTTTTTTTTCGTCGCTTTGACATTTTTTTAAAACTGTTGAAGGCTCCCGCACACGCAGAGAATTTGGCGCTCGCTAATAGCGCAGCGCCAATGGCGCGCTATTTTTTTTACCACACTACTCCCCGTACACGACGCGCCTTCCGCTCAACGGATAAATTTATTGAATCATGNCAAGATTACCCCTGCCTTTATAATATCCGATCGTCTTCGACATAATAATAACAATAACAACTGCATTCTCCCCTCTTCGTCATCGCTTGAACTATCACTGTTCAATAAATTTATCCTCAAGAATTGCTTTCGTCACTACTTCACTGGGCGCCGCCATCTTTAAATACCAATAACGAATGCGCGTTGTGTTCGTCGTCTGAGAAAGTCGCGCAAGGTGTGTCATCGGCCACGACCAGTCAAAAATTCAGCAATTATTATTTGTTAACTTTTATGCAACGATTCGATGTATTTCTCTCATCTTTGTGTCCATAGTGATGACATATGGCGCTGTATTTGGTTCAAAATAGGATCCAGATCTGATTGTATAAACTCTTAAAATCGCGTGGTCATTTCTTAGGTAGAAATGACTAATCTTATAAAATTGAAGTATTTTTACGTGTTTTATCTCTTATCTTATTTACTTTTTTCAATTTGAGTCTTCTAGAACCTAATTTTAACCTTAGACTTTGTAGAACGCGGAACGCGAATTTAACCTTTGGAACTTCACTACTGGATCTTGTTCGCTGAATCGTAATCTTTCGACTTTCTTCATTGGATTGTGTTAGCTGAATTGTAACCTTGAATATTACGGAAATTAAATTAGATCACGTGGCATTTTCTGCATATCATTATTATTCGTGTTTTTAATGAGATATAGGACTCACCCCACTAAATCATTTTATGCAAATGATTGTATAGTATCTGTATAGTCCAGGCTGTTTTTAGAAATCTTCTTTCTCTCTCCCTTTTTTTGCATGCCTATTTTTGGTAATTTATGGTCTAGATTTGGAATGTGATGTCTGAAATTGCATTATCTTTAAGATTTGGTGAGATGATGAGAGACATAAAGGCGGAAGGCCAATTCTAAATATAGTCGTTTAGTGAAGTGCCAAACTCTAGCGGATGAGTATACTACTGGTCTACTTTCAATTTTAGTAGCTCAAAATTTTCATGGTCTTCATATATTGAATTTATTAGGAGACATTGAGAATTGGTCAGGCTTTCATTCGACATATTGGAAAGCTTTCAACGAGATTTCTGGAAAATGTTGTAGAAGGTTGAATTTCGTGTTTTAACATGGGAAGAGATGGCAAATGAATTAGTGGAGTGAGTCCATGTTATGCTCAGGAAATACACGGAGTTATTTTTTCTTTGGGTAATTTATTTCTCATTAAAAACACGAATAATAATGATATGCAGAAAGTGTCTTGTGATCTAATTTAATTTCCGTAATATTCAAGGTAACGATTCAGCTAACACAATCCAATGAAGAAAGTCGAAAGATTACGATTCAGCGAATACGAGCCAGTGGAGAAGTTCTAAAGATCACGATTCAGCGAACACGATCCAGTGAAGAAAGTCGAAAGATTACGATTCAGCGAATACGATCCAGTGGAGAAGTTCTAAAGATCACGATTCAGCGAACACGATCCAGTGAAGAAAGTCGAAAGATTACGATTTCGCGAATACGATCCAGTGGAGAAGTTCTAAAGATCACGATTCAGCGAACACGATCCAGTGAAGAAAGTCGAAAGATTACGATTCAGCGAACAAGATCCAGTAGTGAAATTCCAGAGGTTAAATTCGCGTTCTGCGTTCTACAAAGTCTAAGGTTAAAATTAGGTTCTAGAAGACTCAAATTGAAAAAAGTAAATAAGATAAGAGATAAAAAGGGATAAGAGGGAAAGAATACTGTCAAACGTCTCGATAATACTATAAGATGAAGATGTTGAAAGAGCGTTACATAAGCGGCGTTAATAACGCTCGGCGAATGCCGACGAACGCTAAGAAACGTTGGCGATGCATTTGACAGGCGTCCGACGGACGTTACACAGGCGTTACGCAAGCGTTACCCAAGCGCTAGCCACGCGCTGGACACTCGACCCTGATGGGTCAGCGTCCGCGTAGCGTCCAGTAAACGTCCTAACTTTCAATAACATTCGAGTAATAACGCGTAAGTATGGTTTTGATAGAACGTCGTGAATATCGTTAATATCAGATATTTATTAATCTTGCGTCCAGAAAAACTCAATTGACGTTTAAAATGTTATGTATATAAATCTCTCATGAATGTGTCATTTTATTCCAGGAATAGAATTTATAGGTTGACACTTTCTGGATAAATATCAAATATCACACAAACAGTCAGGGATTAAATATTTATTTTATTGCTATTTAAATTAATTATCCTAAAGTTATTATCAAGGTTTTGAAATAAAGTTTCCCGTTCTGCAGATCTAAAGTACAAAACACAATTGTTTGTTTCGGTGAACAGGAATCGGAAATAAAATGAAATGATTTTTATGCACTACATTGTATTTATCTGCGCTTGACTGAGTTAAGCAGTAAAGGATATTTCGCAATCAGAACTATTCTTAGAGATGGTGGTCCGGAACGGTGATCATGCACCAACTCGCAGGTGAGCATGACCTGTAGTTAGCACGTATTGCAACGGAATTTAAATTCAACATGATTAAAAATAATCTATTAATTGATCTTGTTCATCAACCCAGAGAGCGGGTTCTACATACCACCTAAATAAAATATAATGAATTTAACGTCCTGCTTTTCTGCACCTTATTAAAACGGGCATCGCCATGCAATGTGCAATAAATGGAAAATTCGCGATGACAGTGGCATAAAACAACCTATTTGTTGTGCACCGTTTAATATCAATCATATTCGTTCCATTCTAGTGTCAACGTAACTTGACGCTATATAGACTGTATTAGTGCTGGTGCGCTAGCATTACGATTAAGCAAACAAAAAATTCTCATTAAAAATTTTGAGTTTTATAGAATTAGACGTTGGATTTCTTTTGACGTTTTAATTTATTTACTACGTGATGGTTGTGGGTTTCTTAGTTGATTTTTTTAATATCTGAGTAGACAGACATATTATCCTGGGTCAAACAGTTCTGTAACTAATATTTGATATCACTCTAACATTGCTTCAAACAGTGCATAATGAGAGTTACACCAAAGATCTGGAATATATCACAGTAAAGCGCCGAAAGGATTAGACATTCATCAGAAGTGACAGGGATTCGTTCCATTCATTACGGAGGTAAATTAAGCTGAAAGAAACTAAAGTCTCTTCCGATTCATTTGCCCTTGTAAGACTTACTTAGTGCACTAGTTAATCGCCGGTAAATAGAATAATCAAGAATTGACACGATATCGACAATAAAGTTTTATATCGACATTAGACATTCAATATCGACAATAGACTTGACGTTCTCTATCGACAATACACACTATATCGACAATAGACGTTTTATATCGACAAAAGACGATCTATATCGACCATAGACACTCTATATCGACGATATCGTTCCTTATCAACAATATACATCCTGAATCGACAATATACATCCTGAATCGACAATAGACGTACTTTATCGACAAAGACATCAATATCGACAAAAGACGTTTTACATTGACTTTAGACGTTCTATATCAACAATAGATGTTATATATCGATAACATACGTTATATATATATCGACAATAAACGTTCTATATTGGCAAAAGACCCCATGTAGGCAATAACTTAAACATCGACAATAGACGTTCTTTATCGACTATAAACATTCTTTATCAATAAATAAACAAAGTACTAACGTTCTTTGTCAACAACAGACGCTCCCTTTCAACTTTAGACGTTCTATATCGACAATAGACGTTCTTTCTAAACAATTGACGTTCTATATCGATAATAAACGTTCTATATCGATAATAAACGTTCTATATCGATAATAAACGTTCGTTACGTTGAATATCGCCATTCTTTACATCGACAATAAATGCTTACTTTGACAATAGATGTCCGATATTGTCTTACTTTCTATTATGTTCTATTTAAACCCTTTAAATTATTTAAAAGACAGATTAAGCAGGTCAACAAAATCTGTAAACAAATTAGTTTTGTAAAAGCATCAGAAAACAAGTCTTAGCTAGTTTACGACACATTTCAAGAGTTGTCTTCTAAGCAGAGTAATTTGTATAATGGCACTTATCAAGACGATAAAGCATGCCAAAATCAGAATCTACCTCCTTTACACATGTTTACAGGACACTAGAAATAAATGAAAGGTTTAAATTTAACCAGTTTATAGAATATGAACATTAATAGATTGTAACAAGTTCAAATATTGTTATTAAATCAATTGAACACTTGATGGCAATTATAATATATCAAAACCTGACTAGAGTTCTGTCAGCCTTCGGCAACATGGAGTTACTGTGACTTTTTGAAAGGAAACAACCAATTTTTACGAGAAAAACAGATGTACACGAGGATCCTGTCTACCATCTGGCTCTCGTCCTCTTGGCAGTTCGTGACGTTCTTGAAAATATCGACAAATTAGCTCACCTGAATCTAATATGCGATTTCGAGCAGGTTCAATTTAAGCGGTATCGCAACGCAATTTCCGATTCAAAATGACACATTTGCGATTAAATATTTCCTTTGATTAGCCAAAATTAAAATTTATCACGACAATCTGCGAATCAAACTAAAATGTATATTTGAAGGTTAACTACAGGAATATTTAACATTGCTACCGAATTTTTAAGAAATGCTTATCAAAATTTAACTTGATTGGCCAAAACATAAGAATGTATTTTTTTTTTTTGCTTATCAAAATTTTCAATCTAAATTGAACCCTGACTTTAAGTACACTCATCAACTAAACACGTGTCTATAAATAGCATATGCGAATATTTTCAATTTAATATTCAATGGAATCCTATACGTTTCTCTATTCGTCTCATCAAATTATCTAGACAAGAATTTATATTAATTCCCAACCTCTAAATATTTTACTAAACCTTATCTTGAATATAGAACAATGATCCAGTTAGATAATTAAATTGCGAGTGAAATTTAATTCCGAATTATCTTACGGCAGATAAAACAGTCACTTTCAGAAATCATAATCAGAGAAAATTCGCAACGGAGATGTTCAGCCAGTTTTAAATTTCAGTTGTAAAATGTTGGTTGTTTCAACTTTTTTTTGATGGATTTCATTACCCCTTTACTATTTCGTAATTTTGGCCTCCTCTGCAATCTTTTTCATGTTGGAGAATATAGTCCGACTGTAAATACATGCTGAATAACTAAAATTATAATTGTAAAATAAAATGATGCTATAAAGTGCTTCATTCCCCCTGCTAATTCCCCCATCAAACGAATGAAACGAAATTTTATCACTATTTCCTTCGTTATCGATGCAGGTACAAAAGCAAGACAGCCTGTTAATGGTCGATAATGCTCTTTTGTTCAAGTACAAACTTTGTCAACTGATGGTTTTGTGTAGGTGATGGATTATACAAATTGATGAAATTGTGCCTTTTTTGTACTCTAAATGATTGACATAGTAGATCCATGTCCAAACAAGCGTTCATTGTTGTAACTCATTGGATCAGCAAGGGGTAGAATATACTAACGAATCACAAAACGAATCTCGAAATTCAAAACAACAGTTTGGCACAACAGTATAGATGCATCAATAGAACTTACGAGGAAGTATATCAATCTTAAATGAGGAAGTACCTCAAATTATAAGAAAAGTCAATAATCGCAAGTTTTCTCGATTTATTTTTTTTGCAAAACTTGATAAATCGACCTCTTTATGTTTCAAGTTCTAAAATTGATTTCGTAAAACAAAGAATAATCACGGAATTGACAACATTCAATCGAACGTGACGAGATGAGGAAGGACGTAGAGAGAGAAGTGCTCTTAGGCACCCCGAATCACAGCTGCCGGCAAAATGAAGGTACCAATGGCATATTCTGAAATTCGTGAAATAAAAGATAATAACAATATTCAGTGTGTTAAGATAAATACTTTATTAGATAAATATATCGTTAGCATGCTCACTTTTGTCTTACACATGTTATACCTCTGCGATAATGTTGACGTATCCAGACGGATTGTGATTTATTAGTTAAGTATACGTACTTCTGAACAGACAGTAACATTACGTTACATTTCGTTAACGAAACTAGACTGAAATAGTCCAAACATGCAATTTAATGTATGCAATCAGAGCAATTTATCAGCGCAGCTGCATTTGGCCTTTTGTGTTTGCCCGGGTGTTTATCAATTCCACATGGTGCAATACTGGTTTTTTTATAATTTAATATCATGTAAGGATTCCTTATGTGATTGCATACAATAAGAATCGAAAGGCTTGAAAACAAGATATATCTTGGAGGCGTTATATCTGATTAAGTCGCGGTGTATATCATGTTTTTATGTTGTGTAACGTCTTGCGGTGTTATCATAAACTAATGGTATTTTGACATATTCCAGATTTACATAAACATCACGTGGCAGATCGAGTGTATTAAAGGAGTGCAGTCAGTTCCTGCACTAGACATTTGACCTGACGTTAGTTTGACTGGATAATTGTCCTCACTCGTGAACAATCACTTTTCATTGAGAATAGACGAGTTACTGTGAACGATGCGGTGATCGATGTGGGATATCGATACAGCAGAAAATATCAGAAGTGATTCTTGTTCGTATCCGTAACTAGTAAACCATTTTCCACTGTACTGATCATCTTCCTCCGGACACCATTATCGATACAGTAATAAAAGAAACTATACTGGTTCTAATGTACCATTTACTACTGCAGTTATATTCTCCCACCGGCCAACTTTCTCTATTTCCTTTATACATATTGATGTATTGATTTACACTATTCTTTTGCTATTTTTTCAGGTTTATTCTGCATGATAAAGTACACGAAGCTTTTAGTGACGAGAAACTAGTGAATAAAATCTATAAAATGATCAAACTGTTACAAAAGTGAACAAATACAATGAAATGCTCTTTTAGATTATTCAAGAGGTAACAGAAAAACAAAACCAAATGTCAATAATATCTACAGTGGAATATTCAAGACGAATTGTAGTATTATAGGATTAGTTCGTGATACCGGGAATAAACCGTTTTATATCGTGTATTTAGGAAGTAAGGAATAAACTAATGTATTTCACAGTTAACATCTACCAAACCATTTACGAGCTTCATATAAATGTTATGGATTCTAAAAGTTCTAAAGTTTTAAAATGGAATTCGTGCGTTAGTCACATTTAAGTTGTTATCGTATTTAATTCTTGTACACTATAGTTTATCGCTCTTACAGTGACTATTACGGATTACAGAATAACTGCAATTTAATCTCTATTTACCAGATAAAGTGTTGCATTATATTACATGGTAACTGAATGTGCGTGTGTACAAAAACCTACGTTATAAAAACAATTTGAGGAATTCGACCTCATTCCTTGAACGGAATTTGTTTATCTATGGGCATCTGGAAAAATATATTCGTCGGTCTTTTTTCAAAATCAAAGTGTGGTCTGATATTAAAACCAATGTGCCTCATGATTTAGATGCGTTCTAGCTCGTCCTATGCTGCTGTCAAGAGTTTCGGATAATGAAATGAATCGTCAGGACAGCTGATATGGGGAATGGATTAAATTGACAATTCTTGGTACAGAAAGGTAAACGATCTCACTGAGCGAAAATTCAACTACAGGAACAACATTAATAAGTGGAGACTCTCGGCAGATTTCAAAAGTGATTAAAATGTCATCATTCAGATGGTATTAATCAGGAAATCTTCTGGGGTTGTATCGCAGACAGAAAGCTCTGCACAAATTCCCAAAACGTCTTTAAAATGTGACCATTTGAATAGTTCTTTGGCGTATCGTTAAGAAAAATTACGAATCCGATTAAATTCTAAATTTGTGATGTTTTTCTAAAAATGGGAGACTTAACCTTAATAGTGATGCCTGGCGAGGATTTTAACTCTACCTTCTCGTTAAGTACTATTACAGAACATCCATTAGCAGAGTTTAGAGTAGAGAATATGACCTACTATTTGGAGTACCAGGTGGCAGAAACTTTGATGGAGTTCATCACCCCGATATTATCTTTTGGTGGTATTATTGGCAATATTATAACCATCATAATCTTGGTAAAATCATCCCTGAGAAAGTCGACCACCTGCTGGTATATGACTGTCATGGCTATTCTGGATATAGTCACCCTGTTATTTCAGTTAATCTGGTTGTTTATCCGACCGAAAATTCATCCCAAACATTTCAGTGGTTGGATATGTGGAATTATTTTCGGAGTTTTCTTCTTCGCTATTCATTACAACGTTTTTCTCTTGGTCGCAATGACAATAGAAAGGTACATTGCCGTTAGATTTCCAATTCGTGCCCAGAAATTACTTAATAAAAGAAGAACGGTGATTATCATATCGGGTTTAGGGTTTTTGTCATTGCTTGTGAACGCTCATCATCTCGCGACAAGAATGTGTGCTCGCCATCCCGATACTAGTGAAGTAATTTGCGTAGCTGACGTCGGAAACGAAACATTTACTAACCTAGTGTGGCCATGGATAGATGCCACCCTTTATTGTTTTGTGCCTCTGTTTTTCCTCATCGTTTTTAATATTTTAATTGTACGTCAGCTGCGACGTGCCAGTCGACGTCAACGTGAAATGGTCATAAGAAAAAGTGGAGGACGGTTTGCTAGTAATCAAGCTCAAGTAACGTTAATGCTTCTACTGGTATCAGTTTCCTTTGTGTTTCTAGTTACCCCTATAGCCTTGATTATCCTGATTGAACGCTATGCGTGGGATAGAACCACCGCTCACGATAAAGCGACTCATCATCTGTTACGAAGATTAGCAGGTGCCTTAATGTTCACCAATCATTCCTTAAACTTCGTTCTGTATTGTCTAAGTGGTCGACGGTTTCGGACAGCAACGAAGGCGTTGTTTTGTTGTCGTAAAATAAACGGTGGTCGGATTGAAATGACTACAATAGCATCCAAAAATATAGTTTCAGCTAAGAGTAATCGGTCGTCTACCAATATTGAAGGACCTGATTCCATCAGTGATGAGGATGCTGTGTCACTTCCGTGTGAATTCCGCAATGAACCTCTCTGATAAACCAACTGCGTTCGAGTTTCGCATGTGTTAAATAACTGCAATACGTCACATAGCGTTTTGTATTGTACAACTGAACTTTGTTCATTTTCGTATTTTTGAATTAGTTCAGAAAAAACTACCTTGCCCTCAAAAGCACGACATTATCTTCATTACCTAAAAAATATATACTTTGAAGCACCTGGTTCTGAAGCACCGATTTATGTCATATAAATAAGTTAAAGCAGAGAAGACAACCCGTATCTTGGTATCTGGTAGTGTTAATAGCTTACTGTAGGCAGGGCAAACCAATTTTGGACCAATTTTCATCAAATTTGAAGAGTAAACGCAAGCATGGACACTGTAGATGTTTTATTTGTTTTTACAAATAACATTTATCTTTCATAAAACAAGACTACTTCAGCAGAAAGACATAAAACGCTGCGTTTTGCTAGGTGAACACAAAGCTTGTGTGTTTTCTTATCACATTTGACACATAAACCAAATTAATAAAGCACGTCAATATTTCTCTTGATTTATTTTATTTTCATAGTATCGATTTCAAAGCCAAAGTTTGTTTTTAAGGCCTGATCATCCAGACTCAGGAAGTATTTCATTAGTTTATGATTGAAAATGTTTTTAAAGATAATATTATGAAGTTTACACAGTCAGTCATCCAGTCAGGGTTTTTGATATATTTAGAAACTATCGAGGCCAAATCCGATACTGAGCCTTTTTAAGATAATAAAAGTATGATTGTTGTGGATGTTAATCCATTAATAACTGTCGATCTCGTCCTCGTAAGGCAGAGTATGTAGTGAAACATCTTTTGACACTCTGGCTGAAAATTGTCGAAATGTTATCTAAATAACTGATGAGGTTATTTGTGTAGATGGTCAAAGATGATTTGACTTATATTTAAAATACTATTGATAAATCAAAACTGTTGCTTTGACTTTCCAAGAATGTTACAATGGTCTCGAAATTTAAAACCAAAAAAATCACTTTGATCATCTTGCTTGTGTAAATTGTTACTCAAGCAACATCAAAATGCAGTGACTCAACTAGAGTAAGTGCGGGTCTTTGGACTTGAGTGAGTTTGGGCCTCTCCGAAAGAAAATTTTCCTTTTTTACACATCCTCACATGCATTCTGAGACCATCATTGTCTTAAATGAGGACATAATAATGTCCTTGAGAGCCAAATAATGGAGTTGTGAACCATGTTATTTTGTGTGTTAACCTTTTAGATACTTACTTTGGCACATTCCTTTTATTTTTGTATTTTCTTCGGGTATGTGAGTTGAGCTACTGTCGAAATGATTTCAAAATGTTACAATGTAATTCTGTTCTGTTCTGTTCTAGAGAACTAGAAAGATATAAATTACGATTTACATGTAAGTTGTAAGTTCAAATATTGCTATTACAGAAAAATGACGGACGAAGTAAAAAAATGATCTCGTCTCTCTTCTTCCTTTCTGCCTTCTGGCAAGAATCTTCATTACGCAAGATCGTATTTCGTCTTATAGTTTCATTTGAAATACCAATAATAAAATTCCCTAGACAGGCGACAGTTTTGTTCACTTTGAACAGTGAAGTATAGAGTTTCTAGTCAATTAACCTATTTTATCATTTAGAACGACGGATAGTTTGATGGAATGTTAAGGATGAAAACTGATATCTATCAATCAGGTACTGTTATTTCATCATCCTCAAGAGAATGTGACACACATATTAAGTTCCATTTTAATTTTACCTCGAGACGGAGTTGATACTCGCACAAAAACAGGTGAAAATAACCAGTCTCACGTTCAGTTGTCAATAGTGATAACACTATTTTCAAAATTTGCTTCGTCAACAAGCTTCGAAACATTTCGGCGTTTTCTTCGAAATTAAACTGAATCTGCCCGTGTTCAGTATTTCACATGGTTAAGGCAGTTCTAAAAAGCCTCCATACGTATAGTTTTAAGTGGCGAGATACATCCGAAGGTAACCTCTTTGTTTCGTTAAAAGTCCTTTCGGGCAATGTTATACAAAAATAACGAAGTGTGTCTTGAAAAATGTAGGACAACTGGCCATTGGATTGATTTGCTGTCTGGATGATAGTGTATCTCTCTTTAACTTGACTATTCTGTAAATATTTTCAATGATAATAGTTGATTGTTATAATTGAATTATCCCCTTTGAAGTTATGTTCTCCTTGATTAGATTTTTGACCTTCGTTATATTTACTCAACAAATCTATTAATTAGATGGTCGATGGATAAATACAGACCAGAGTGGCCTTTACTCTCTGCTACTTTCTAATATTTGTGGTTGGTTTATTCATTTAATATCACGCATACGGAGGTTTTATCTCACTGGTTCTTTTCTATAAGTAGAATCTGGCCTTTCACCTGCTCTTAACTGTGATATATAGCCTCTCTGCCTTTATCTCAAACCAAAAATCTTCAAACCAAAATGCAATCACTAGTTTAGTCTAATTAAAATTAGACCCAACTTTCGTTTTTTTATTAATTTTTACTTTTTGTATAGCCACTTCACGGAATAGTGTTTTGTGATGGGATCAAAAGGTGTATTTTCAGGAGCAATAGACTAGTTTATCACGCCTTTTCATTGGATGTCAACCCAGTTAAATTTGATTGGTTACATCGTCAGGTTAGGTTAAAAGGTTAATTTGACGAATGTTCAAAACTGCAGTCGTTGGACCCAATGCGAAGTGACCATACTTAAAATAAAAACTAATATAAGAAACGAAAAATTGGTCTGAAATTTTATTATTACAACAGACACTTGGATAAGAGCATAAAAGCTCTAACATAGGTACTTACTAAAACATGAATCGACCAGGAAAACACCATAGAAATCGTGAAACGACCCGATCTGAGCAGGAAAACAACAGGAATTCTAAGCATGCTAATCAGACCGAACCTGCACTTCATTTTAAGAAAATGTTTCATGTCGGGTCATGTTTTAGTAAGTACGTCTAACATAAATGTGTATTAAGTATACCACGGTCACGTTCATTCCAACCAATCACTGAGCGTCATTCAGAAATCGTGTCGAATTTGAAATACTACGAATTTTGCAGGTACCTACTTTTGATAGCTTGTAGAGTCACCAGTAAGAGACCTTGATATTAATGGAGAACCTGATATGACATACTTTTAATATACTCTTTCTGTCATTTTGAAGTTCGTCTCCACCTACTCTTTACATCGTACGTGAAACACATTTTGAACCCTGTTCCAAATTTTATTGACCTTCCGGTTGATTCAATGATTCATGAACGAGCACCACACTAGTATACTCATCATTCGCTTGATGTCTTGTATAGACCACACTATATGCGCTCTTCACAGTCTAGCAAGAATAAACAAAAACTAGATCATTGCGAATCACTATTGTAATATTGGCCAACTTTGGTGAAAATTGACACACTTTCACGGCTTTTTGGAAGCCAAACTAATATGTTATCACAAATTAGGTTTGTTTAAAATGCGAAACAAGAAACTCGTAATTTAACACGGGTCTGAATTAGGTCCATTAAAAAGAAGCGAGATGATTCGAACATTGATACAATGTATAATATGAAAACAATCCCTCAAACAAAATGCCTTGATGCTGTTCTCTTAAAATGATTGTATAAGACTTAAAGTGATTGTAAAGAGGTTTCTGAACATTTCTTGTGTATCGGGGACACAGATAACATCAATTTTCGCCATTCAAAATCAAAATCCGACTGAGCATAATTCAAATAGTTACCGGCTAAAATGAGACTGAACACATAAAATACTAATTCACAAGAACGGTTAGAGAAACACTCATCATATAATCAAGGATTGGTTATCAGAAACATCAGTATAATAATCGTAAACGTACAATTATAAAATATTTTCACTGTAAAAATAGTGCGCAATACATCAATTGTAGAGCGATATAGAAACACCACTGTTAAAATAGTGCTCAATACATCAATTGTAGAGCGATATAGATACACCAGTGTTAAAATATTGCTACAATACATCAATTGTAGAGCGATATAGAAATATTTCTGTTAAAATAGTGCTCAATACATCAATTGTAGAGCGATATAGATATACTAGTGTTAAAATATTGTACAATATAATTGTAGAGCGAGATAGAAATACCAGTGTTAAAATAGTGCGCAATACATCAATTGTAGGGCGATATAGAAATACCACTGTTAAAATAGTGCTCAATACATCAATTGTAGAACGATATAGACATACCAATGTAATCGTAAACTTATAAACCTAAGAAATCTGATTTATTGAAGTGTCATTATATAATGCTTTTAAACAATCAGATTCCTTGCAAGTTGTCAAAAACATCATACAATAATCGTTAACGAATAATTGTAAGAAATCTGCTTGGTTGATGTAGATCAATGGGATTTTCAGATGAAAGAATCGTTTCAAACTTCCAAATATAAGCACGAGATTGGTGTTCATTGTTCTTGACCAAACTTTCCTAAGATGACGACAGTGAGTTGTGCTTTTCTGTTAAAGGTATTGTCAACGTTTCATCGTCGTTTTTCTTGCTTTGTGGTTTCCATTCTTCGCCTGGTTTTGTTGATGCTTTAAGCCTCTGAAAAAAATGAAAATGGGTCCAATGTTAATTGAGTAATAGCTTTGACAAAAACAACCACACTCGCTAAAGTATATCATTTAAATCATATTGGCATCGCCAAGAAAAAAATGGATCGAAAAAGATGTCATTTTTGACTCACAAACTTTGATGCAATACCGATTAATTTGAATTTTGATGTCACTTGATATAAAATTTTAAAGTTTAGAGTTGATGCAAAAAAAATCAGATGGTAGCACACCGTTTAATTAATGTCAAAATGGCCAGCACTGAAACAGACTAATTTGAAAAAAAAATCCTACCTCAAGAAATGATCCTTTTTCAGAATAAATTGCTTTGACCATAAAAAATACAACAGGAATGAGAGGAATCGATGCATAGATCCAACCAAATATTTCAGCACCTCGAGGATAATGGTAACCAGCATAGGATGGTGGAGAATACAGAAAAAAGGTGGATATCATTATCGCCTGAAATAAGAAAACAGTTTGCTTATATATAATAAATGAAATACAAGATCTACACACTCTGAAAGTCAGATTATATGTTGCTAATATCAAATGAAATAAAAGCTATGTGTACGGTGGGGAACCATGTGTACTCTCTGTTGATTATATCAAATGAACAATAAAAGTTAGATGGAATCTCAGAAAATGAAAGTATATTTTTTTGCTACAATGGAATGTAATACCAAATGAACAACTACCTATGTGAACACTCTAAAATTATTTTATATGTTACTTAAACCCAATTAACAATACAAACTATGTGAACTCTCAGAAAGTCAGATTAGATATTGCTAATAATGTCTCTTAGCTTTTCAAAAGGTTTCTACTAATAATACCGAGCTATTATAAAGCGAACACCAAAATTAGGTCAGAC